ATGACGATGACGATGACGATGACGATGACGATGACGATGACGATGACGACGACGACGACGACGACGACGACAGTGTTGATGACGACGACGACCCGAGAGTAAGAGCTCAGAATAAAATATGGCAAGTGTCAGGTGTGGCCGAAATGAGATAAGAGTATTGTCACTTGGAAGAATACAACCAGTGGATGTAGCGAAACCGGACGTCTATATTGTGACATTTAAAGAGAGTTGATAAAATAAACTTATTTACACGTAATCAAAAGCACAACTGCACAAATAAGGCAAGATCCTTAAATGGATACACGAGTCTCTTTACTGACACATTATTACACACACAAAGAGAAAGAGAAAGAAAAAGAGAGAGAAAGAATCTGGATAGATATGCCATTTCAGCAGAGCCTTCAACACAGGAGAGATGTGGGTGGCCTTACCGTTATGTACAAGGCCAATATTGTCAAAGTACCACACTTGGATCCACTTCGAGGGCAGCGTGAAGCCAGGTTCTATACCAGAAGACGGGCAGAAAGCAGCAACTTCACTCTGGCTGCACCTTTCGCCAGAACATCACTTCATCTGAGATCGTTTATCCCCAGGATGACTCGAGTATGGAACACATTCGTACAGCATTATGATGTCAACGATATAAAGTCAGTTGATCAGATGAAAATGCTGGCCCACAGATGGCTCCAACTTCATCCTGTTCCTTACTTGTATGTCTCATAACAAAAATGCTTTCAAATGAGCTGATGTAGGTAACAGCTCTTAGCAGTCACACCAGGGAAGGCTGGCAAGTCAAGTGACGCTCTAGACCACAGTTGCCTCAAAAGTTGGGTAGCCTTGTTTGAAAGCCATGTTTCTTCCCCGCCAGGGCACATCAGTGGACCTTGAGGATGGTTTCAAGCTATTTCATTTTCCTCCTGTATATTCTGATGTCACAAGCTTCGAATCCTGCTTACTGCGATCTTACTATGTATATACCCGTTCGTTTCCGCGTGGTGCATTAATGTAAAAATCGCTCGAGACGTCAGAATAAACAGGAGGAGAATGAAATAGTTTGAAACCATGCTTGAAGTCCACTTGTATGGCCGGGATGGGAAAAAAACATGGCTTGTAAACAAGGCTTGTCAGCTTTGGAGACTTGTGTAGCCGAGTGGTCTAGTGTCACCTGGAAACCTTGCGCTTAAAAAATAGAACCTGTGATTCAGAGATACTGAATAGTCTTGAATGGCTATTAAGTTGCCGGATTAAATGTAAATGTTTTCATTACTTTCCAACATTAATAAGAGACTTACGATGTTACACAGTAGTGCTCCGGACGATGAAGACGCAGCAGCGCAAGACTGATCAAAAAACGGAAGTGATAATGAATATAATGAGGAGAGGAATGCTTCTACCTTCATTGAAAGAAAGATGGCTATTTTTTGTAAATATTATTTATCAAAAAATATCATGGAAGATGATTTTTGGAAGAAATTTAACACCTCTTCCTTTAATAGTGGGTCAAAGAATATATGATAACTGTTGAAGGCAGAGAATTATATGCATGAACAAAACGTTAGTTTCAGCCAGTTACAATGTTTCAGCTAGTTACAATGTTTCAGCTAGTTACAATGTTTCAGCCAGTTACAATGTTTCAGCCAGTTACAATGTTTCAGCCAGTTACAATGCTTCAGCCAGTTACAATGTTTCAGCCAGTTACAATGTTTCAGCTAGTTACAATGTTTCAGCTAGTTACAATGTTTCAGCCAGTTACAATGTTTCAGCCAGTTACAATGTTTCAGCCAGTTACAATGTTTCAGCCAGTTACAATGTTTCAGCCAGTTACAATGTTTCAGCCAGTTACAATGTTTCAGCCAGTTACAATGTTTCAGCCAGTTACAATGTTTCAGCCAGTTACAATGTTTCAGCCAGTTACAATGTTTCAGCCAGTTACAATGTTTCAGCCAGTTACAATGTTTCAGCCAGTTACAATGAAGTAACGCGAGAAAGAGCAATTAGCAGCATACACTACACAAGTAAGTGATGAAAATACACTACTGCCAAGGAATTTGATTCCAAAAGCTTCATTATAGCTGCCAATAACAATTTTGACCATGACGATCGACTAATAATATCTGGTAGCAATGCTTCATATGACTGTCTTATTTCAGGTGCATTCTGGTTCAGCAAAAGTACTAATCAAGCCAAAGTTATCTTGGACCATTTTAGAACAATGAAGTCATTACTTACATATACAACTGCCAAACCTGATAGCTACATACCACAAAAGAATAGTTTGTTCCGGTGATCAACGCCCCCGCGGCCCAGACTTTCACTAGGCCTCCAGGAGGATCAGGACCTCATCAACCGGGCTGTTACTGCTGGCAGTATGTAATCCGACCTATGAGCTACAACCCGGTTCGTCTGGTACTGACTTTAGGTATCTCTCCAGTTTTCTCTTGGAGGCAACCAGGGATCTATTGGTATTTCCTTTATTAAAAAATAAAACCTACTTTCTCTGAACAAGATGGCAGAGCAAAATGATGAAACTGTATTTGCAATAAGTTTCTGTATTATTATTATTATTATTATAATCAAGGGGGAAGCGCTAAACCCGGAGGATTATACAGCTACGTTTCGGTAAATATAAAGTTTCTGGAGAAATAAACAATGAGGTTGTTCCAACATGAGCCGATTGTCGTTCCACTTTATCAACAGCAACACCACCTGTCATGAAAGTGGGATTCCTTACATTCATTTCAGAGCCAATTACATATCATGCAACAGTTTCCATAGCACTGAAAAGCTTACAAAACGTTTGTTCACTACTGAAACAACTAACTCCCCTAGTAATCCAGGATGAGGGACTATTCTATAGCATTGCCGATATTATAATCAGTAACCCATCATTGTTTCCAGATAATATCCCAATCCTTGGAACTTTCAATGCACTAAGATTGTCAAGAATACCACTGGAAAGTACTACCATGGTGTAGGTGCACAGGATGCACTTACTGAGAGCATTAGTAATGATAACCATTATTAGACATCTCTTGAGGGATTCCTTATTCTTATACTTTGCAAGATGAAATGAATGACATTTTGGAAATCCTAGATCAAAGAAAAACTCACTAAGTATTAAGCAAGCAGAGGAAATGAGATCGCATATTTCGTCAAAATATGTAACAAAATGCTCAGCTGAGCCTCAGACTCATGTCTTCAAGATTCTGAGTTGTATGATAACTTTAAACAATTCTCTAGTGATTGGACAGGAGAGTCAAATGTGTAGATACTGGGATATTTTCACAGAAGTGGTCTACCTCCTGAAGTTTGTAATAGTAGCTGACAGATGGCAGGTGGGATAGCCACCTCCAAGCTTATCAAAGTATTTCACCTATGTACCTATTATAATCTTTTATTTAAATATTTATAGCATTATAAAGTATTTTAGTTTAATCTAATACTTTCACCTTTTTCTCACCGATAAAAACAAAACATGCTAACGTGAAATTTGACGTTCATATAGATTTGAAAATCTTAACTATGAATTCCTTAACTCCCAGAGTATATATTTGGACATCAAAAAGGTATCTACAGAAAAAAAAAGGTGCGGAAATAAGTGCAGTTAAAATATGTCGGCAGCCATTGTTTTAAAGAAAACGTCGAAGAAACCCCTTCCAGATTCTGGTGATATATTGTATGTATAGTAAGTGGTACTCTTGGTTACACAAATCAGAACAGAATTTTTTACGGGACTTTATTACCAGGGACAGGAGTATAAAGGAACCTTACCCTGGAATCACTGAATACGTCACGCACAGCTTCGATCGCCGAGTTCAAACACTGAACTCTCTTCTAAATAATAAATTAAATTCTGAAGCCTCAGAGCTTCGCTATAAGGCTGTTACCCGAACCTAGTCATGATACAGAAAATATTCAGTGAAGAGAAGAAAGTTGATTGAAAAAAACCAAGGAAAGTGGTGTCACGAAACAAATCTTAAAAGCGTATATAAGCCACAGAGACGTAATAAAGAACATTCTCAAGTCTCATAGCAGTGACCAGGCTGAACGAGTTATATTAAAAAGGCGAGAGATATAAACACTATACAAAGTTGGTGTGATAATTCAAAATAGCGTCTGGTAAACACAAAAGACAGGCAGTAGTAGTAAAGAGGCAGAGAATACATCTGAGAATCGACTACAACAAACTTTACTAGGCGAGTACAACAGCGTCCGTTTGTTCAACTTAAGAGGCTGTAAATCTCATTTATTGTGCAATTACAGGAACCGAGGCAATACTCTCACGGCAGGCGAAGGAGCATCAGTAATACATCCCGTCACCACCAACTTCAATAATTAACGAGAGAAGTTATCTATTTAGCAACGCCAATAGTCAGGTGACGTTCCGCAGCAATTTCTTCAGCACAGAGCTGGACAGAACGATCGCTGGACTCGTTCACAGAGGATCACACTTGCTCTTCATAGACATGTTATAATTAACATCAGGTTAATGATATAGTTTTAATAACTTTGAAATCACTCTTACTTGTACCAGTCATGTGTGGATATATTTGTCGATTTAAACAGTCAATGGGAGAATTCGCTAAAGACTAAGAATCAATTGTCTTAAAAGTTATTGCTCGTGGTAAGAAAGTTAAACCAGTTTCCTAGTAACAAAATTATACATAACTACTGTTGATTCTGGTGTGTACACCGAAAATGACAAATTAAACATGGCCGTGATGAAAACTAATTTATATTTTCAAGAACTTCAGACAATCACAAGTGATGATCATGTCAGTGTTAAGTACAAAGTCTTCATCCATATTTATTGAATTTAATAATAATTTTTAAATCAGAGATTTATAGTTGTCCTTCACGTACCTCTCTCACGCAGTGACAGAAGTTACTTCAAACAGCAACCTCTAAAATAATATATGTTCATGACATTAACCTAAAGCATGTTTTATACACGTTTATATTCTACGAGAGGCCGTAAAATACACACTGGGGTCACGCACCTGGTTCACTGGGGTCACAAACGGTTAGTCCTACATGAACGTACGCAGCTGGGTCGCACACCTGGTACACTGGGGTCACAACTGGCTACTCCCACTTACCTGAAATTAGAACACACAAATTACAAATTAAAAAGAAAAATACAAATGTAGAAAATAAATTTGAACTCTTAGACCACGGATCATTTGTTTGTTTCATTTAAAAAAAAATTTACCATCTTGTTATTCATATCTTAAAGCGCACAGTTAGACTTGATACATTTGATATAAAAACCAACTTGTTATTATTGTGACAAAACAATCAAAACGTGTCAAATACAATTATTCACATACCCGAAACCAAATTCCTAAATATTTATGCCGAAAGAAGTTCAAGATTTGCAAGATGGACAAACACAGTGTGGGGAGAGTGGCCCACTTTCCAGAGTAGCAGCAGCAGTAGCAACTGTGATAGTTGCAGAGCAACTGAAACGTGTAGGTCACTCAGTACTCGCTACAGTCAGCTTACAACCCAAACAGTTTAAAAAAAGGTGAGATTAACAGTAAAATCCACAGACAAACGCTCAACACAAGTAAATTCTATCAAACGAAACTAAAAATTACCAGCATTAACTAAAAATCACATTATTTTTTTGAATGTCATAAGACACTTAAAACTTCCTCGAGATCCCTACAGGCTCCTCGGTAATCATGCAAACCATGACGAAGGGGAAAAGGCGGAATCCCCAGGCAAACCATTCAAGAGAGGAGACCGCATTCAAACTCCAAGCAGCAAAGGAAGCCTTACACAACGAGCAAAGAGCTCCCGCCTCTCTTCTGCAAAACCTCCAGTGTAAGTCGGGTTCCCAGAAGTACACAGAACCCGAAACAGAGGAAGTACGGACTGCACCTGTGCAAAGCTGGATCCCTGAGTGCAGTACAGACCAGCTGGCCAAGATGTAGATCTGGCAGCCATACTCCAGACATCAATGGCGAAAGGCCCTGGCTAGCGGTCGTAGATGCAATATGCAGTGTCAGTCCTCCTAAAGCCCAAAACAGAGTGGAGCAGGTCCAGCAAAGACAGACAGACAGAGACAGACAGACCTACCTCTCTCTCTCTCTCTCTCTCTCTCTCTCTCTCTCTCTCTCAGAAGGGGCACTTCAGAGGTTCGGAAACCCGACTTCTTTGAGCGGACGTCAGCTTACTTGGGGAGGAAGTGTCAGGCTTCTCTTCCGAGTTGGGGTATCCAGTGCATCATCCTTGCTAGAAACAGAATCAGCGCTCCTAAGATTTCTGTAAACGCTTCGTCTCACTCTTTCCATCCTTGGGTCCCAAAGACGATCCAGACCTCTTGTAAGGTAGAATATCCAACACACCGCACCAGCAAGAGAAAGGGTACTGGTGCCCCTGGATGTGCATCGATTCCTTGGAGTTTGCTTTTGGCCCTTTCCATTGCCACAAAACACACAAGCAATGCTGGCTGTGGCACCTGATGGGGGCCTAGGAGGGTGGACAACCATTTGAGAATTGGCACCTGTTGTTGGGAGCAATTGAAGTTAGTTCTCCTGTCCAGGCACCCCCAAAGAAGCTAGTCCCAGCAGGAAGCAAAACTGGAAGCCCTTTCACAGGGGTATTGAGTGGGTGACCCGAGGACTCAGGATGTTCCTCCCTTTCATCCTGTACGTCCACCAGGCCCAAAATAGCAGATGTACTCGCATTAGAACCCTCGAGAGGGCTACCACAAACGACTGGACTACCCTGAAAAGGCAAGATAAGCGAGCAGGATAAGTTGTTGGTCGCCTGCATAGGTGCCTGAAGGCTACATTGGACGGTTCCTCAAGGAGGAAAACTGTCCCACCGACGAGGATCCCACAACAGTTGTGTCCTACTTATAGAGGCAACAGATACCATATTATAGGTCGTTCTACTGGCCTCGGCAAAACCTGGCTTCTCAACATAAAAAAAAACAGTAGCACACACTCCGTCACATGCACCCTCTCATGCACTGTCATTAGTCTCATGATAAATACACAGTTGTGACAATTGGAAGATTCCAGTACAGGAGTGAGCTGCGATAAATTCGGCTCCACAAGCCTCACAAGTGTTATGAGTCGCCTTACACTTAGTCTTGTGGTGGCCAAACTTCTGACACGAAACTGTGCAAAAAAGGGGACATACGGCTTCATATCTCGATCCCTTAATCCTAGATTTAGGTATAATGAAAGGTCTGGCTGGTCGAGTGTGAAAACCAGTGAATTAATGTTCACTCAAAACACCACGAATTTTCATCTTAATCCCCCGAACTGCAACCACTCAAGGACTGAAAAGTCTAATGACCTCTTCACTCTCATGTTCGAGCAACTAATGGGAAATTACGCCACGACACTGGTTCAAATAAGCAGTGACAAGCACACACACTTCACAAGATCACCGTAATACAAGAACAACTCGAGGTGTCTCTTCAGTACTGGAAGGAGGGAACCCTTCCAACACTATTCAAGATAGAAATGACATCAGCATTCTTATCCACAAAAAATACTTCCTGGTCCTGGGATGTATATTGAGCCAACTTCGGAAATGGAAGGGTTATCAGGGCCAGGATCAGGCACAGCACCGGGCACCTGGCTGAGACTGGCACTGAGTCGTTGCTATAAACCATGACCACACAGGGTCGTTAGGAGTCATTTCCGCAGGGGAACCAGGGAAGGAAGGTGATGTCGAAACTGACACAGAAGTTTTCTGTACTGTCTTCCTGTTTTGTGATATAGAAGAGAAGAGGGAAGAAAAAGAGTGAGAAAACCAGAAATGGGGAGGCTTTTGCTAGACTATAAAAATGAAACCAACGATCCCCACACTCCACACCAACGTGACAAGCAGTGCCGACTATCTTCGGTGGACCAACCTTGGACGTTGTTGGAATTATGGAGCATTTTGATCTATAAAGTCATCCAGTGCTCACGACAAAAACAGTTAAATACAACCATAAAATAATACACAAACCAGAAGTATACTAAAGAAATAAAAACTATTCAAAGCCCCAGCAAAATAAAGCGCCTACATCAATTAAAAAACTATTTTAATTGTTTTTTTTTTTTTTTATCAAAAAACTCTTCTTAAATTTCCCCGAGGTACTTACAGACACGCCGGTAATGATAAAAACCACTACTTAGGCAAAAAAATGGAAGATGAGAGGAAACAGTTAAAATGTGTTCCACAGTCAGTGCCCGGAAAGGACAGGCCACCGTCCCCCCCCCCCCCATACCCTGGGAGCAATGTGAACTAACCCCACCACGCTTTAATTAGACCCAATTTCGGGGAAGAACAAAAGGCGTCAAATATCAAATGAAAAAAAAATAAAAAAATATTAACTTTCTTCACAGGGAGTGCTATTATTCTGGACTGGAATCTGAAGACGTGAAAATGTAGTTTAACAGTAGGTAACATAAGAATTTAAACATAGAATAGAAAATGATGATTGTCAATGATATAAAAAGTATAAGCTACTCTACCTCTGGGAGTACAACTGGGAGTACATCTGGGAGTACAACTGGGAGTACAACTGAGGCTACCCTCCTGTCTGGGGAACAATAGAAGCTACTCTCTACTACCGTCTGGAGCCGATAGAAGATACTATACAATACGGACTTACTGTCTGGGCTAAAATAAAGTTACTCTATTTTATCATCTGAGGTAGGAAAGACGCTATTTTACATTAGCGTCAAGAACATGATAGAAGCTACCCTACCGTCAGCGGCGTGATAGAAGCTATTCTTCTATCTGGGGCACGTAGAAGCCACCCTATCGTCTGGGGGCACAATAGAAGGTACTCGATCTACTATCTGGGGCACGATAACATTACACTACCCGTCTTGGGTATGATAACAGCCTACTCTGTAGTACCCGTCTGAGGATAAAATAGCAACTCACCACGCGAGTCTGCCTGTCCTGCCTCCCCCGCCTGCCTCCTCCCCCTCTCTCTCTCTCTCTCTCTCTCTCTCTCTCTCTGACATTAAGATTGAATACATGACACTGACCTGGCATCTTCCCTTACCATTTCCATATGACGCTTTTCAACTTTCCCTTTCCTAGACGGAGCTCACTCCACAACCTTACTGTATTTCACAACCTCGTCCCTTTCCCTTATCCCAGGTTCCATCCTCTCCTTTCTCCACCTTCCTTCCAGAAACCAAACCCTAATTTCTCATTCTTTTCTCTTCCTCTTCCCCCCACCCCCACCATAAGCTCCTAAATCAAAGCTTGATTCTCCTACTCTCCTCACACACTTCCCCAAGGAAAGCTCAGCTTCCAGTATTCTCAACCCGTCTCCGTCTGTCTCTCTCTCTCCGGCAATCTCTAACCTGGAGCCAATCTGATAGCATCTCTGCTCCAGGAAGACAGCTAGCAGGATCGATAGATAAAAGTTGGATCTGGGTTGACGTTGCTGAGTGTTTCATTCAACTCTCGCCCTCCAAACTGTTTACCACAGTTTTGACGTTAACTACTGCCATCAACCTTCACCCTCCATTGATGTGAAGCACTTACAACGGTGTTAGTGGAAGGAGCAAGTCGATAGAGACGGAGGAAGTAGTTGAAAGTAAAGAGGAAGAGGTAGGAGAGTGAAGGGAAAGAAAAAAATAAAACGCAAGTGAAAAGAACAGGAGGAAGTGGATAAAGAGCTAAGAGAAGAGGAAAGAAGTTCGATGGAGGAGAATCTGGGAAAAAAGTAATTATTGGAACAAAAATGGCGGCAGCGAAAAAGAAAACGAGAAACTGGAGGACGAGGAAGGAATAGGAAGACGAAAAAGTATAGGAGGGGAATGAGGAGGGAGTAATAAAAGCTGGAATTTTTTATAATGTATACGTATAATTATTAGTAAATATATGTCTCTCTTTACTTCAAGATAAATACACAAAACAATTCAAAAAACATTCAGCAAGGCAAAAAAAAAAAAAAATTGAAATTTAATTTTACTTTACGCAAATCAAAAGCAAAAAATCTGATTAGAATTACATAGGAATACAACAGGACATTGTACGTGACTTTAGTTGCAAAACTCATCAAGTGCACCAATTGTAACTTGCCTTAGGAATGACTTCAGTCTCCCGGTCGAAGTTTAGTAGT